CATATGCTCGCCATACTCGAATTAATGCTGAAACGTGCAGTTCTTGAACTAAATTCAACCGAGAGGCCACCGCCCCTAGAATGATAACTAAGTTAGTAAGTAAATTAGCTAGTAGAATATTTACTGAATTTGAAATACAAATAGCAGCACCATTCGACGCTTATTCAGTTATTCAAGTCACGATTCCGGTTCGCCCTCAATTCTAGCGATGCGATTGTCGGTCGGTAGGTCGACTGATGAAACTGAAGCTGATGAAGCTGTGTTGCAGGCCGGCTTGTCGTTGCGCAAGGCGGTGGCGATTTTGAAGCCAATGAGTGGCAGCGGCCGACTCACCTACTTATGCATGCGCAGCTGCGTGGCCTTTGACGTCGCTTTGACGTTGCATTAACGAGTATAGGAGCGCACAGCAGTGGCAGCCGGTAATAGCGCATGGGATGCTGCGCATGCGCGCGTTGTTTTCAAGAGCAGTAACGTGCACTGAGCCGTAGTGCACGCTTTAAGGGTCAAGAAGCTCTTTTAGCTTATAAAATAAACTTTCCCACTTAACTAAGTACGCAACTTCTGTACAGCCGCGCAACCGGTGACACAGTTTCGTTTTTTTTTTGTATGCCCTACTAGAGTGGAATACAAAATAATTGGGTACTAGAGAAAATAAATGCATAATATGATTTCATTTTGTTTTATTTTATTTTATTTTTAGAAGGGTGTAACGCGAATAAGTTTAAGGAGGCGAGTGAAAAAATATTTTCTATCAGGATGGGTTTCTTCAAAAGCCAGGAGCGAGGCCGTGAATGCGCCAGACTTAAGCTGGTCTTTCGCTGCTGAACTTATTCGTCTGTGATGGGCAATTCAAGTTCGTGAAGTTGGTAACTGTCCCGGATTGTATGTGAAAAGCCAGGATAGTGTTGGGTCCACTGGTTTAAGGATATATGTCTTGATAATGCCCGTGGGCTCGTGGATAAATGATCTAAAATGCTAAATAGGCTCAATTATTTAGCCTGCTCAGATACCAAGTGCGATAACAACTGAATGGAAATTAATTGATAAGCATCGAGGCCTAGCAATGTGAATGGTTTTCAGGTATCATCAAAAGACATTCCACTACTCACCGTAGTGCTATGTTCTATACTTCAGCAATTGCGTCTAATTAGTACCTGCTGCCTAACACGCAAGCCATAATTTAGAACCAGCTGTCTTTTGCGTTGCCGACAACATCTCTATTCGTATAGCCGCCTGCGAGCGATTTGCGAACATTGTTACTCTTAAATATTTCGGGTTATTAAGTGTGCTATCGATGTAAACACCTACTTGCAGCTTGACATGACTCGCCAAAGTGTTAATATAGGTGTACGTTCGTTAGAAATAACATAAATGGAAAAGAGAGTCGTGTACTCTCGAGCAACGATCATCAGCGCGTCCAGAAAAAATCCTTATTTTGACACCAACTTTTTTGGAGTCCCTGTTTAATAAATCCGTCGGAATCTTATTGACGGCTGTGATCCATTTAGTATCCCTTGGTAGTATCGAAGCATTTCAACAGGCGTAACGCTGTTTTTGTTTGGGCCACGAAAGATCTCAGTTTTTATGGTGAATAGCAAAGTCTCTTCCTAATCCAAATACAGGGTGACGCCGAGTGAGCTATATGGTTTAAATGGTTTATAACTTTTTTATTTATGCGATTATTATATATATTTTTTTTTTTTTAAATACAGTATATTATTGGGGAATTTTTTGCAATTAGCTTTGAAAAATGATATCCTGTAAGTGATGTCCATTTTCTGCTTCGCACATACGTGCTCTTTTTAGCATATTTTCCATAACTTTTCGCAGAATTTCGGGTGTAATGGCCATGATTTCTTTTCGAATGTTGGTTTGGAGTTGGAGAATGGTTCTTGGTTTGTTAACGTACACTCTTTCTTTCAAATATCCCCAACGAAAACTGTTAAAAAGAATTCAAACCATATAGCTCATTCGGCGCCACCCAGTATTATAACCACAAATTTGACGTTTTTCTGGCCGAAATTACGATTTTTTCAAGGTAAAATTACGATTTTTCAGCAAAAGCATTCGGCAACGCTGCTGGAAGGTCATTACCAGGCGTGGATCCCGTTGGCATAGAGTTAAAACAAAAAAAACTGTTATAAAGAATTCAAACCATATAGCTCGTTCGGCGCCACCCAATAGTTATGGTACACTATTTGTTAGCCGTTTAATCGGATGATCAGTGAAACTTTTAAGAGGTACTCTTTCCCGGGTCAAAGTAAAAAGCGTATTGGTTTTAATAAGTTCGTCAGCCTTCCTACCATTCGACGTTTGATCTTATCTACCGAAGGATTCAAAACGAACTGTCGGTTAAAGTAGTTCTCAGAAGTTTTCTGGTCATTGCACTTCGGGTCATAGGGATCAGCCTACAGTAGAAGGTCACGTTCGAGAATTGAAGCGTATTTTTTTGCGTCTACTAAAGTTAGGTTTGGTAAGGGTAGGAAGCCGTATATGAAGGTGAGTACTACGTATGAGTATCAGCAAGAGGACTATAACTTTGATTGGGCTTATTCCGATAGCTTCACTTCCGTTATATCTACCAGGCTGGTGAAAAATCGTGATCCGAAGCACTTCAGTCGCCTTATATAGAAAGCTGGGCATTGCCATAATAAATACTGAATCGATTCCTCCCTTCCCCATCCCGACACCTTTCACAAAGATGACCCAGTTCGTTTCTTGTTAAGGCTTGACCATAAAGACCTTGAGATTTCACATTAGTTTCGATTGATCCATTGGATATTTGTTACGGCAGTGCTTTGCCCGTCAATTATCTTGAGTAGAATTGGTGGGAGTAACGAGCTATCCGCCTCGCAGATTTGTATTTCCGAAACATTTCTAGCCATCTCGTGGGGTATTTTGTTCCCTTCGATATTACTACGCTCAGGAACCCATCTGGAAGCGGTTTTGACATTAGTCAGTGATTTAAACTACTTTGGATCCAAACGTTTTCCATGATTCTTGGCTGTTAAAGAAAATATAGATGTTACCTGACTGAGACTTACTATTTTGTAAGAGACAAGCAGCCTGTTCTATGGCAAAGATCTCCGGCAGATATTCACTGCAGTCATCAGCAGGTAATATGATTGTCTTAACTGCAGGTCCTCTGAATAGAGGCCCACGCCACCACCGTATCATTCATCTCTAGTTGGAAATAGTATAAAAATCTTAAAGCGAAAATCCGAGAATGACGTTAACTCTTCCATTTGGACATCTAAGTCGGCCCTTATCCCGTTCCGCCGTCCTATTTTGAGCTCACTCAAGGTCGGTGCGTACGTCTATTTGGGAAGTTTTCAGAATTTTGACTACATTAATATCTCGCAGTTGCGCCCGTTTCGAATATTTGTGACGGCTTCAAGTGAAGGTTCTTATTCAGCCCTTTTTAATTTACTCTACTCACAGCGTCTAACATACTGAGGCATGCGAGCCTCCGCACACTTCTGATCATTTTTTGATATCATCTTTTACCCTGTGCCATCCGCCGCTGTGGTGTACATTCCATGAATGACGTGCAGTTACAACTCCCACTTTTTCCCATAGATCATTTTGCTCTCTCTTCGACGCTGCGCCTTCATGTGAGTTTGGGTTCAATGATAATACCAAGGTATTTCACGTCGGGGGAAAAGTTTATATTAGTCCCATCTAGCATTGGAAGAGAGAATTCATGAATCTTTTTACGGTAGGAATGTGGCCCTATATCAATTTTGTGGATACAATAATCTCCCTAATGTATAAGTCAAGTGCTTATCTATCCTCACCTACCTACACTACCTCATCGGATCTTGAGACTCGTCCGGATCAAACGAGCCGACGGCTCAGGTACTTTGGCTCCTAAAAGTGTAGTTCCATTAGAATTCCCAAGGATTCCTGACTATATTCGGTCCATGTGTCGACTGATTTCCTGATCTTTCCTATTTCCGAATAGGTTTTTAGAAGTATTTTGCGGAGCATTCACATCTCATTTGTTAACTCCAATGTTTCACAGAACCTTTTCCAAGAATATTTCTGTGCGGTTGTTATTTTAATTTTGTAGTCGTTGAAGATTTTTCTATAATTTTACCAATCTTCCTCACATCGACTTCATTTGGGTCTGACTAAACATCGTTTGCAACACTCCTGGGAAAAAATTGTACCCTATGGCGAGCGCATCCCTCTGATTATACCGTCTGTTGTTGCTGATTACGAATCTGAAGTCAGTTCTTAAAAATTCAGAACAGCAAATACATTTTTAAATAAATGTCAGATTTTTATGAAATTTAATATTTAAAGGTTCTTTGAGTGGCGGACCCAATATCTATTCTCCGAAAATCCTCGATTTTTTCATGGGTGCAAAATCGTTTTTTTTCATCGTGGCCAATAATTGTCCTTAAACACTTCTCTATGCGATAAGATACCCTGCAGGAAATGTATCTAGCTATAAGTAAATTTTAAGTTGATTAGGAAGGAACTAAAGGTCAATATTATCTGTATATTTTATCTTAGTAAAGCTAACTATATTTCTAAAGCGTTGGCCGCGAAATAGGCAGATGTCAACTAACTTGTAACTAACTACTTTTGGGCATAAAATATCAATAAGAAAAATATAATATTGGTTTGTTTTTTAAATTTTTATTTATTTATTTTATATTATTGCATTTCATATTTGTTTACATATTCTGCTGTAGGTGGTCCCATATTCGAGCTCCGTCAGACATAACTTCAAAATGATAATATAAAATTTTCTTTTTATTTGTCCTCAATTCGAAAAAATATTAGTGAAGTGCAGAAAGAAAGTGTATTCGCAGTAAATTTTTTATTTTAGTTAAACAAGTTTTAATTGAAAAAGAAATGGATAGAACTCAAAATTGTGGTGGCATTATAATAAATGTATTCTTTATTTTATTTTTTACATATTTCTCTTTAAATTACATAAAATCGGTGCTTTTTTTAATACCTAGAATTATAAGTAAAATGTCATATTTAAATTGTCTTATTAAAAATAAGTTATATCATTTATATACTCCTGTAAAAATAACTTAATTTTTATATTTCATTCTGCGTGAAAGTTTGTTTCCCTTGATAACATACATATGTACGTAAACTTACAATAAAAAGATTTAGGCTTGAGTTCTTACCTATTTTATAAATTCTTCCTTATTAATCATACATATGTTTATCTTATAATATATTTATCAACAATTTCTATCCAATAAGAGTATTTGAGTGCGCATTTAGTATATTCTTAAGTAATTAAAAGTTAATTATTCATCTTTTTCTTTTAGGTATACATGTCTAGCTTCACTATGCTCAGTCACCTTCAGCTAAATCACTATCAGTTGGTTAATTTTATTATTTAACAAGACAAATGAGCATAGATGGGAAATTTGTAAAAGAAATGCAACTTTGTTGTTCAGTGTATGTAAAGTGTACGAAAGTATTGGATGTAATAAATTAGTCTAATTCATCTTAGTTTTACTTGAAAGTGCCTATTACTTAAAATCTCATTTTTTCTATCAAAACTTTTGTTTTCTTAACTCAATTAATTCGAATATTTTCTACCCACCCTAGTGTGCCTACATGTTGCCCTGAGTATGTTGCGGCTGCAAGGCGCGCGGTAGTGTACGATTTCCAACCGATGACTTTTCTGTCGCTAACGAAGTAGGCGATGATGCGCGCGATGATTGCAATTGCTGCATTCTAATGTTGTTGCGAATGTAACGCTGTCGCCGAGCTTCCCGCAATACGACGAAAATAAAAGCGCCAAAAACTATCACAGAAAGCGAGACAGTGATGATAATGCTGCCGGCGTTAGAGGATATTTGTTCCAGAGTGGTGGTGAAACCTTTGAAGAGAGCAAAGAAAGTAGATATTCGAAGGAATTATAAATACGATTGTTAAAATCATTTGTAGAAATCTTTGAAAATATAACGTTTAAATAGAAGAAACACATTCACATTCCAATTCGTGCTCACTCACCTCGCTGCTCACCGGTATTGCGCAAATGATACCACTGTTCCACGCCCAATGTACCGCTAGCGTTGACTTCTTCCGCCAGATGATTTGCTGTTGCCTGCTCGCGTACCAATTTTGCATATTTAGCCGCTCGCGTATTCGTCACCGGCACTGTAGGCGCGGCATCATCGATTTCCTGTAGCTTCCGCACTTCATTTTCATGTTTTATGTGGCGCTCATTTACACCCGGTACAATATCTTCCAACAATGCTACGCTATTGGGTACATCGCTACCATCGGTTTCTACTGATTGATTGTTGCTGATGTTTACCGCATCGGTTACTTCTTCGACCATTGCGATACTTTCATCTGAGGCCAACGGTAATGTGTGCGCTGCTGGCGGCATGGGTTCCAATAGCGGATGTTCCTTCAGTACCAAGGCGCTCTTATCCACGAAACGCATGTAACGCTGCTCTCGACCCAGTCGTTCGTCTGGTTCGAAGGGATCGTTCTCTACGGCAGCTGCAACGCCATCACTGCCGGGCACTGTGAAGCTGGCGCGCACCGTTTGCATACCCGACTGGAAGCTACACACTACGACGAATCTGGCGAGGGAAAATAAATGGGAGGGAGAGTAAATAGTGTAAAAATATACAGTTCGGAAGAAAAAATATTTTTTTTAGTTTGATAAAGACACCTCCGGAAATAACGCCGTTTTAACCGACATCAAACATTTCCCTGAAACTAGCCAAGCTAGCTACTGCAGCCTTCTCATGCAGAGTAAATATTTACAATAATCGCTCTTATAAATTTTTTGGAAAATCGTTCTCTCTCTAGCCGATTTATCAATATCTAAAAAGAGATACGAAAAACTTTCGGCTCTTAAATAAAATAATTTCGCCACAATCCATAAACTATCATAATTTATATATGTATGTATATAATTGTAGTATAAGTTTTATCAAAGTGTTTTCAGTATAATCCATAAACGATCTGTTTTTACAGAGATGAGTATTAGGATTTAAAAAACACTCTAACACGCAGCCAACATATTTTACCATTAAGTAGAAGTATAGGCAAGATTTTCTTTATAAGATAGCCGAATGTCATAAAATGAACAGAGAGTGCTTTGTTATTGCTCAAACCGTTTTTATTGCGTCTTTGGCTTACCCATCACTAAAAATAGTAAAATAAAGATATTTTGACAAAAAAAGAGGAACCAACTTCAACAACAACACTTGAACTATTATCGATACTTTTATGCAAGTATTATTGCTGGCATCGATTCTTCTTTAGCGTATTCTATGTATCAATACTTTTGTAAAAAATTGTATTACTAGCCTTCGTCCTCGTATTCTTCCTTATCCCCATACTCGTCTTCATATTCGTGTTCCACTCGAAACCATATTCGTCGTTATATTCGTCTTCGTCCAGAGGTAAGGGTGATAGCGGGAAATCAATGAATTGAAAATGTTTTTTATGGCCACATTCGTTTTCAGCGACCCAAAAACTTAGAAATAATAGGGGTTTGGTTCACATTTGTGTGCCTGTGTAATAAATAAACAACTGCTTTCGAATCATCCACCTAAAAGTGTCGAAGACCTATTTCATGGTATTTGGTATGTTGACAAAAGTTAAGGTCTGAAACCTTCTGAAAATTTTCTGTAAGAAGTGATGCCGAAAAACAACCAGATAACCTTAGAAGCCATAAAATAGGGTATAAAACCCGAAAACTTTCTCTTGGAATAAAACAAATAATAAAGTCTAACTTCGGGCGGAGCCGAACATTAAATACCCGGCGGAAGTATTAAATATATGATTTTCACCTTTCCGAAAGCTACCGCTACATGGTAAGCCGGGGTGTATCAATTTTGAGTAAATTAGCGTCCCTAAATTTCGAAATATTGAAGTTTCAAGCATTTCTGAAATTTACCGTTATATCAAAAGCCGCCTTAATTCTACTCCGCTTTTCAATAATTTTCAACGTTTTGCTTTTATGTGACAAGCACAATAACCATACCGAGTTTAGTACAAATTGGTATAACGGTTACCGAGATATATATATGTGATCATAAGTGGGCGGTGCCACGCCCATTTTCCAAAATTTTATCATAAGCTTATTTCTTGGTAAAGAATTGTTGCAAGCATCAATTTTGAATAAAATAGCTTTAATATTTACTGATTTATGGAAGATTTTGTATTTCTCCAAATTACCGTTATATGGGATGTGGGCGTGGTTATTGTCCGATTTTCGACCACTTAGTATGTTGCAGGAAGGCTAACTGCGCCAAATTTGGAAGAAACTGGTGCAGCGGTTACCAAGATACACACATGTAACCATAAGTGGGCGTGGCTACGCCCATTTTCCAAAAATTCCCAAATAAAATTTTGAGTGAATAATCTTCAGTAGTTACTATAATATCGCAATTTTCGTATTTCTAAAAATTACTGTTATATGGGAGGTAAGCGTGCGCTCGGGTATAAAAACTTAAAAAAATAATGAAGCTCGGTTCCACACACCCGAAAACGGGTGCAGCCATCCTCTCTGGCCATTTCTTTGATCATTCAAAAAGAAACTATCACAGTGATATCGATCGTCCCATAGTTCTTGATAACTCGATAAATTTAAAAAAATTTATGAACGTATCGAAAACTCGATGGATTTCAAAGGCACTAAGTGCCGATAACTCAACAGTTTTCAATAACTATCCATGAGCCTCGATGAGTTCGCCTTTCTGGTACTCGATAAATTTCGCTAACTCAAAAATTTAAATATCTCGATATACTTAGTCAACTCGATAAACATGTGAAAAATGTGCAGCATTCAAAACTACCCTGCAGCCGTTTCCAGCGCTCCAGAAAATTGAGTTAAACCGGGAAAAAATAGAGATGTATTTTCAAGAGGAAGAAAAGGGAGCAGAAGGCGTGAATTGGAAGAGCTTCAGTTACTGGCACTTAGCAATGCGTTTCGAAATATCTATCAGAAAATTAGACAGCAATGAAATTGTATTAAGACCGGGACTAGGTCCTGCAAATATTAATATGGAAATAGGGGAAAAAACGTCCAGAGTACAGTTGAGACATGGCAAGAAGATTTCTCAACGCTTTTTAATGACCAACAGGGGGCTCACGTCCATCCCTTTCTTGTTTTTAAGCAGAATTTGATTTCTTGCCCGAAGGTTGGAGTCTCTGTTTACTTTGTCCAATCCACAAGAAATTCCTTCTCGCTGTTTGCGCCATTTACCGAGGAATTAGCTTTCTTAACATTGAGTATAAAGTCCCATCGGCGATACTGTAAGAAGGACTGAAGCCCTTCGTAAACAAGCTGATTGCTCCTTATCAGCTTGGATTAAGTTTGCCAAAATCCAAGACAATAGATAAGCAAATTGACATATATTATATTTTTGTCGATTTTAAAGCCGCTTTTGATAGATCGAAGAGAACTTGAATGTACGAAGCCATGTCTAAATAAGGTATCCCCGCGAATCTAATACGACTTTGAGTACAAACTTCAGTTCCGCGCCGTTTGAGACTGATGCCGGAAAGCGTACTAACGATGTTGCTAGCGTGTATATGATATTGACATCATCAGCCTGAAAACCCGGGACATCAGAAAAGCATTTCCCAGTTTAGAAAAATAATCGGAAGAGGTTGGTCTAGCTGTAAACGAAGACAAGACAATGTTATCGTGTGCGGATATGACTTTGAAGGAGTGAAGTAGGTTGCCTACTGATATCCGGCATTAGAAAAACCAACGATGTCAACCATCAGGACATCAAACGAAGAATAACTCTTACCAACAGGTGCTACTTTGAGCTCGGTAGGCAATTCAAAAGTAGAGCCCTTTCGCGGCGAATAAAAATCACGCTCTACAAATCTCTAATCATGCACGTCCTTTTATATAGCGCAGAAACATGGACGATGTCAAAAAAAATTAGGAAGCTTTGGGGCTTTCGAGAGAATTATTCTACCCAAGATCTATAGTCATGTTTGCGTGGGTGACGACTACCGAAGAAGATGGAATGCGAGCTTTTTAAGGACATGGATATAGTTAAGCGCATCAAAGAAAAATAATGCGCTAGTTTGGGCGTGACGTATGCAAGGAGGATGAGTTCCGATACAAACAGCCTTCCTCTCGACGCCACCCATGTGTGCACAACGCAAAAAAGGGCGCCCACGTACATAATGGAAGGAGCAAGTTTAGAACATCTGATTCCCAAACCAGCGAAATCATTCGGTTTTTATGCGCCATGACGCGTCATGACGTTAAAAAGATTTTACAGTTCAGTACCAGTCGACCACGCGAGCATAAATAATTTTCTTTAATGCAACATACGAGTATATGATGAGAGATCTTCAGTCTTATCGTCCTTCTCCCCCGTTGGAACATACACAAAAATTAGGCGTATGTTGTTGAATTCAGCTTTGATGCGGTTCGTGGCAATTCACTCCCTGATTTCCTCTGAACCTGGTGGCAAGGTGTCGTAGTCTACGCCCAACCATAATTCCCAAACCCTGTTTATGCTTCATCTCATGGCGCCTATAGTCAACGTCATACGCTGCATACTTTATGCAGCAGCGTCCGTCCATTGCATTTCCTGGATTTCGGTGATGTCAGACTTGTGCCGGATGAATACATTCAGCAACTAGATAGCGGCACATTCCCTTAGAGGTTCCGTAAATCTTAGTTTTTTATTATGTAATCGGGGGCCGCCACCGTTTGGGGGGCAGTATTGCGCTTTGGTATGGCTCGAAGTATAAATTGCATACCTTTCAAAATTACCCTCGGTATACACTCTGAAAGCTATGCTGCAAATGAGGTTATTAGTTATATTTGATAATGGTTTCGCAAAAGGTCAGGTAATACCTAACGTGGTTCCCTTTTGCATCGATACACTTCACTTAAACGGTCATGTGGATTCTAGACTAGTTACTGCGGTAATGCACGGATCTGCATGAGCTCTGGAATAGAAAGAGGCTAAGCTATTTTGGCCTCGTTTAGACTGGTATGAAATATGCTTCATAAAGCTCTACATCCCCTAATAATTTAACTTCAACTGCTCTAATGATAAATTCTTGTTTAGAAAGTTGCTAGTATATCTTTTCTATGAACTCCAGTAGACTTATTTTCCAAGATGTAATATGTATGTATATATCTAACTTTACCACTAAAAATAATTCCTGCCCTATATAATTATTGTTCCTCCTTACTTACTCACCTTCTTGTGCTGTGCGTGTAGATGCCCAAATTCTCCTGCACCGTTATAAATGTTTCAACTGTATTCGTTTCCGGCTTCACTAAACTGCCACACATTTTGTGATCGATTCGCATCGTATAACGATCGATTGGATCATTTTGATTACCCTTTACACCACAATTGCCGCCATCAACAACAATTTTTCCACCAAAGTATGGACCTGTTTCTACTTCAATTTCTGAAGCTTGGGGCAAGCATTTTGTGGCTTGTGCAGCAACTAGCAGAAATGAGATGCAAAAAAAAAAACACAAAACCCATAATATTTTACTTGTTTGTCAAATCTCTATAATTTGCCACTTCATCAACATTACAAATTAGCTAAGTATAATAATAAATGCTTACATCCTTTCGTTGGTATGATGATGGTTTGGCCTCCGTCAAGTGGCACACCCTTCGCTTCATCGTCGATTTCGTTGCCGAATAGCTCAGAGCGACCGGTGATTTTCATATTTCTGCGCTTTGCTTGTGGTCGGATGTGGAAGCTGTATTTGGTGGCCATGCGAAGATTATCGATTTGCGCAGCATAATGACGAACCCGTCTACTGATTATAGAGATTGTTGGAAATGCAAGAAGATTTCAATGAGTAAAGAAAAAATTACAAATTGTGAAAAGCATTTTTATGTTCTAATTCTGTTCCGTTCTGTATCTTTTTATCAGTGACCCAGTTGTTCTTAACTAGGTAGAAGAGTTAACACTTGCCTGCTTTTCGCCTGCTCAATTTCCACATTATTGTTCTGGCGGTTCTTTCTGCTGCTGCTGCCGGTATGATTACTGTTGCCATTACTGTTGTCGTTGTTACCGTTTGGTTCCAGCTGTTGAGTTTCGTTGACTAATTTGGAGCGACAGCGATGCGGTCCAAATGATTGCAATTCACAAAAGAAAATCTGAAACGCTTTTGGCGGTTCCACTTCGGCGCTGCTGTTGGTGATAGCATCAATATCGGTCGCTTGCGACAGCAAATCCGAGTAGGAAGGCACAAACTCCACTTCCCAGGTTAAATTAACGGATTTATAATTCGGCTCACCAGAAACACTTCGTATCTCTGTAATTAGAATAAGTAGACATAGGAAAGGATGTAATTATATAGTTTTGCGGTAAGTGTTGAATTTTATGGCTGCAAACATTTTTTTTTTTTTTAGTATTGATGTTGTGGCAAATCTAACTAAGTACTTAAAACTAGGCAGAAAAAGATAATTTTTTTAACGAAGAATATTTGCCTTCCCAAAGTAAACCATTTACTTCTGCCTCAGTTTTTTAACGTCTGTCAAACAACTACATACATAATGGCAGAGTGTTTTTTAATGAGCGACTTGAAAGTTTGCCATTAACTATCAAGAGTCGACCACTAGCTGAAAAAACACTTTATATTGGATGTTTCTCGGAAAAATTTCTTGCCGGATGATATTGCGATCCTCCAACCACTCGACCACCACTACTGTGAACTAAAATAAAACAACGCGTATAGAAAACAGCATTAGGACTACAGGCTGGTCATTGCACTCTTTTTGGGCTCCGTTCAATCTGTTTTAGATCTACGAATGAATTATTCTCATACTCTTCAAAACAATTCCTGCCGCTCACAGTCAGGTGTTTATGCAAAGCAAAATAACTTGTCAGCAATCACAGAAGCTGCTTGCACTGTGAATGCCAATAGCAAAAGCCTCTGAGATTCAAGGAAACATGTGTTTTGCCCTCCGGCAACCAATCGAAGCCTCGCTGTCATTACTGCGCGAAATATTCACCTACCTTCTGACGGTTGCTCCGATGGCCGAAGGTGGTAGAGGTATAAATCAGCTATCGGACCAAGGAAGGCCGCGTCTGGGCCGTTCGTTTTCGAACTGGCTGCTGAGATAGGTCGATCTTGCACTCAGCCATCGATATATATTTGAAGTGTACTATATTTTTTCAGATTTCTTTGAAAAAGTACTATAAATTTCTTAGAAAATGTTGACAACCCTAGTGGTAACCCTGGTCACTCGAGCTTTTTGTTCAACCAGCGAAGAGGAGTACGGCTGATAAGTGGACCGGTGCTCTGCTTTGCTCTCTCGGCCATTGCGACTGCTGGAGCGCCACCTGCGAAATGACATACTCGTTCCTTTCAAAGGGGATGAAGTAAAATGTCTAATTTATTTAATAATTTTCGAAAAAAAAAATTATTTTTTTTTGGTTTTGTTATTTTTTGGCCTAATAAATCATATTAAACATTTTTTATTGAGCTTGAGGACGTTTTATTTGAAAAAATTATTGTGAAAAAACTACAATGGTTTTTAATGGTAGAAGTTATAGCTGCTATTTCGGAGATCCCCACATATCCTCATCAGATTTCTTCACTAGTGAACGAGCAACTCGTCACGTAAAAATGCCTATTTCGGATTATATCAGTCGTGAACGTAATGTTCGTCTCGTATACCGAATAACGATATTCACGCACGCTTTTGACACTTGACATTTGTCATCTTCTGGTATTCTCTGCATTGATTATTGCAATTTTCGTTATCATTCTGTAATCCGCTCTAGTATGTAAATACTACGAGTAATTGCATCAGCAGAGTAAATGCATAAATTTATGTGCATAAATCCAAATATCGTACGGACACTCCACAACTAATTGTCACTCTGGTTGGTGCGCTTTTGGTTGTTTCATGCGAAAGTATCATAAATCAAGAATCATGCTTAAGCAGTGGCAAGTACGTCAACGGAATCCACATCGTGGCACACATGGCTCTTTACTACAACACCACTCCTGTCTGGGACAAGAACGAGTATTCTATATGCATGCTCTTAATGTTTTGCCAGTTGCAACATCAACTCGTAAACGGATGCTGGTTGCTTGTATTTATTTCTATTATTTTCTGGTTGCAGCTGTTGCCGTTGTTCTTATTTGTTATTCTATCTGCACATGCATTTATATATGTATATTAGGGCGGGTCGATTTGTTGGGGCCCAAAAAAATTACCAGAGGCGCATCACGATTATGATTATTTAAGCCAGCGATTTTTTCTATCAATTTTTTTTTTTTAAGTGGCTGTTGAAACAGCTGTATTGTTTTAGGAGTCGAGGAATCCATTTCTGGCATTAATTTTTTCATTTGAGAGCCGCCGTATTTTTTTTTTTTAATTTTAACGCGTTTCTTCAGAAAATCGACAAGATTGTTGCGAAAATCCACGAAATGTGACTTCCTCATAATGCAATTTAAATTTTTACAAAGCCTAAAATGTCCAGTGTTGAAAATTTATTTTTGTTTTTATTTTATTTTTATTTATTATTTTTTATTTTATTTTAAATATTAAACACTGTATGAAAATGAAAAAGCATGCTGTCACACATGTCATTTGTCATACAATATGTCGATAAACAGTATTACCAAAATAATATTAAAAAAAAAACGTTATACGTATTAAGAACTGAAACATTAGAAATTGTTTATGTTTTTTTTTTGAATTACATTTACATTTAATATGTTTTTATCTTTTAAGTTGAATTTTTGAAAAAAGAAAATTATATTAATATAAGAAAAAAATTTGTTTTGTAAAATTCAGAGATCAAATGAAAAAAACCACGAATTTTTTGTCCTAAATTGAATAAAATCGATATAAGAGGTGCATGAATACACCCCCCTTCCCCCTAATTTTCAACGCTGAATATTTTAGGCTATTTAAAACTTGAAATTGCATTATGAGAAAGTCAAATTTCGTGGATTTTCGTAAAAATGTTGTAGATTTTCGGAAAAAATGCGTTCAAATCCAAAAAAAAAGTACGGAAGCGCCCTCTGGCGGCCCTCAAAAGAAAAAATTAATGCCAGTAATGGATTCCTCGACCTCAAAAACCCCCAGATATACATTTTGGCTTGTTTGCAACACAGCTGTTTCAACAGGTGAGCTACTTTTTGGAAAACAAATTTATAGAAAAAATCGCTGGCTCGAACTTCATTTTAGACCTATGGTTTCTTGGGCAAAAATGCTTGAAATGACCCAAATAGCCATAATCGCGATGTGCCTTTGATGCAAAAAATTTGACCCGCCCTAATGTATATACATACGTACACACACGCTACTGGCTCTATGAATGACTAGTTATTCCCAAAGGTACTACAACGCATGCGCACAAAGTCGCATCACTAAATACTTGCTGTTACTTGTTGCCACCGGCTGTGGGGCAATGAGAATTCGTGTTGCTGTGTTTTGTTTTCATGCGTTTGTGACTTCAATGGTTACCCCAATATCTTGGTTGCATCGCAATTCTAACATTTTAATTACTCCCTCAGGAGTTCTGTTACAATTGAAGAAAAGTGGTATTCGACCAGCTCGTTAAATTTGATGCCACCGACGTCGCTAGTTTTCCCACTAGAACAATGACAATAAGTAAGTTAAGTATAGGTGGTTTTGCTAACACTTAAAATTTACTGTGCAGTCCAGTAAGATAAAATTTGACTTGGTCATTTTTATCAACATTAAAAATTAAATCACCTTCTTACCCAGTATAAAGTGCATTATTCTAAATAGAGAGCTGTCGTAAAATCCTAATATCGATAAATTATAAGGCAAATGTGACGATTACTGTTGGAGGCTCAACCTGTGCTGCATTCAAACTTCCAGAGCACTAGATGCTTAACTAACTCAGATATTTCCTCAGTCCAGAAAGTCCTTATTGTCGTTCTTCTGGATATGTAATTACTGTGACACTACTATACTCAATCCCGTGGTGCGCTAACAAACTGGTGTGAGGGGAGGCTTCGGTGGGGCCACTCGGACTTATTCGGTTTAAGCGCCCACTACAGTCTATCAGTACAGCAGCATTTGTTCTGAACGATTTGTCTATAAGCACGGGCCTGTTGTCTTGAAGCAAACGGCTCGCTACACACCAGTATCGAAACATGCATAAAGCCATTTGGGTCTCCCCTGATTAAAGACGAAAGACCAAACTGATAACGTTGATACAGGAGTGTCGGAAATTCAACGTGGAAGAGCTACTGCCACAAATGGCCCCCGAGAACTTTCGCAGTTTACTCTGAATCCTGCTTAAACGAGAAACTTTTGAACGAGCGCTACCACGAAAAAATATAGTAAATACATACGTATTTAAAAAAAATAGTGCAGAAAAGCGTGAGTGTGGACAGTTTGAGTTGCCGGCAGTTAGGAATGCGGCGCTAAAATATTATCAAAAAATAAGAATAGCGACACAGGTGGCGCTACCTCGCTACGTTCATGGATGAAATTACCAGGAAAGCAGACAGGTGTGCCTCATGTAAGCTGAAAAAGCAACCACATAACATTTCTTATGCCGGGTGGACCGAGGAGAGTCAAGAAAAATTTTTCATCTCCAAACACCGGACCTGTCGATTTTTTGGCGTTTCGACAGGATACTGTCTGATTGCAATTTACGTGGTTATACTAAATATATATAGCACGTAATATTTTCTTAGCACTTAACTCTGAACTGTAAACACTTTTCCAAGCTTCACACGCAAATTGGGGAACATCTCTTCCGAAACGCAGTTACATACTCTTCTCACTAGCCGAGCAGGTAGTTGTATATACATGGGCATCGCCAGGATCGAATTTAGGAGGAGAAATACTTGCTAATATTAAGCATTTGAATTTAAGTATGTAATAAAACGTCATATTCATGAATATACTCCAATATTTAGCTCAATATTTAAATAAGAACTTCGTGAAAGACAAAATTAATCTTGCATTGCTTAGATACCTTATAACCCAGGATAATTTTTAAGTTTATAAAGGACCTTACTCTACTCAAAGCTTCGTACAGTGCGCCGTGAGAAAACAGTAATCTTTAACAATATATGTCAAGGGCTTTGTTAGTCGTAATCTGAAATGCAATAATCACTGAAAATGTATGCCATTTATGGTGAAAGACATTAATAAGTATCTCACTTTTAAACTTAAGCTTTCTTAGCCCTTTCAATTCAATCAATTCAATGAATTTCAAAAATTCAACCATTGATTCTAAAAATTTTTAAATATGAGTACCGGTTAATTTTGGATCGTTCATTTCAAAAATCACATCAAAGAATTTGTAAAG